TTAAAAAAAAAAAAAAAAAAAAAAAATTATAAAAAGAACTCAAGGGGAAGATTGTGAGTTTCAGAAACTTGGTGATGACCTCCTGACTGTTTGACTTGAGGAACTGCGACTCCAGAGTCTACTTAAAAATTATTGTGAGATGAAAAGCTTTCTAATAAGATTAAGTGACAGATTTTTCTAACTGTATAATTGAGTATTATAACAATATATTGTAACAGAAACTTTTACTAAATAAAACTCTGGGCTGTTTTGTGTTAAAAATGATATTGCCAATGCATGTAAAGCTATTGAATCACTTCTCTTGATAATGCAAGGAAAAGCTGGCATAATTGTGGTTTAGAGTATTAAAAGCCATTGCACATGTGGTCGCTTGCTTGCATGCACACTGTCTCTCTCCATATTGTACCGTATTAGTGAAATATTGTAGTAACCTCAGTTACTACCAAAGAAAAACATCAACTAGAGCAATCTAGAGCTCTTTAGTCATTGCTTATTAAAATACATAAACAGATTTTTCACAATGAAAGTTTACAACAAGAGAGCCGTGCTTACCAAAATTATGATTGTGATAATTCAGAATTAATGTGGCTATATTCAAGACTGTCAAATATTTATTCACCATTGCATATTTTATGTTAGTTTATATATAAACAGTGAGAGAAAATTCATTACAGACTTCTACTTTTTATAGTGGATTACCTATTAAGAGTCTGAAGCAAATCCCATTGAACTCAGTGAAAATACTCTCTCAAACTTCATTTTAGTTTTGATCGGGCCTGAAACACATCACCCTTGCTTCCATTGAAATCAGAAGGCCAAATTTCCATTACCATTAGTGAAGCAGAATCCAGCTCTAAATAAATAAGTACCTAGTACTGTGGGTTTTTTGTGCATTTACCAGCTTTATTATATCCAGAACAATGATTTAAAAGAAAAATCCCTCCACCTAGTTCCTTGCAGCTTACAGGTGCCTTGTAAAACAATCTGTGTTATTTTGTAATGTATCTGCTAATACTGCTGGGAAGGCTTTCTCTGCCAGAATCACTGTACTAAATCCTGGTGCTATATTTGTTCTGAAAATATTGAGAGAGAGAGATCAATGACAAAAAACTTTGTATGAGTTTGGGTTAGAAATATAAATTGCCAGCCTAGTTCATATTAACATTTACATGCATTTTAATTTTTCAAGGGGATTTCAAATTCTCAGTAGAAAGAACATTCCTGATTCATTATTTAGCTCGCTCATTCAGGCTGTTCACTTCAGTAAATGATGCCTTCAGAAAAAAATGCAGAGCAGCTATGGAAGACTGAATAGATAACTAATTTTTAATGCAATTTGGGGGTCTCTTCTCTATTTGGTGCTCTACCTATGTGTACCTCTTATTAGTATTATTGGGGAAGCTTGCTCGCACATCAAGGTTAAAACAAAACTTGGAGCCTAAACAAAGCAAAGGGATGACGACAAAGATCAAAGGAAAATATTTTTTAGAAACTGTTTTAAGTAGGATTTTGGTTTTACGTTGATGATATAAGCATATTGATATTTAAATCTTCAGATTTTAATTCTTTAAAACCAGCTTCCCCACTTGTATGGCATTTTTGTGAACTTTTTCTGTATAAAGATAAACTTCCCTTCCTGGGCAGAGTGGCTATTACCTTTCTCTTTTATCTAATGAATGAGTACAATTTTCATAGAAGAGAAAGAGAAAATCAAGTGAAAATCTGGTATGGCTCTGTTCTTGTAAAGATAATTTGAAGGGGACAGCAGTCCTAGGAAGCCTATGTATACTGTTCTTTCTATATAAACTATAAGGAGCTACTTCAGTCTTTCCCTTTCTGATCAAGTCAGTTTTTATACATCAGAAGATATACTGTCTGACCATGACATTCTGCACTTTTATCCTTTTTACTCTATCAGTCTTTTTCAGCTGTTTGAAAACTGAGTACAACCCAGTCCCTTTGGGAGCAGGGGGTGCAGGAATAGTCAAGTCCCTTAAGAGTCTGAAGATATCAACTATGAAAAAGGTGTAGGTCCATAAGACTTTTAAGGGGAAAAGCTGTCATTTTTCATATCACAGTATTTCTTAACGTTGTGGATTTGAAAAAATGCACAAAAGACCAGATTTTGGAGACCTAAGTCTGATGAAACTTGCAGAGAAGTCAACAGGAGGTTTGTGCATGATATGAAGATTTCACCAAGCTGAAGATTATATTAGTGAAACTAGTTACACTCCGCAGTAAGCTTATCTTCATAACACCAAGTCGGTCATAGCATATGGCGCTCTTCTCATGGAGATCCATTCTAAACTCTTAATTTTCCCTTACAGTAGAGTGGTGATATGTCATTTTTTGTGGCAGATAGAGTGACATTAAGGATAAATAGTTTAGTTCAGGACTGTGGCATGTCTTTCAACACTATACTCATTTGAATAAGTGTCGTCCTGATGCGTCATATTAGCTAGATATATCAAATTCCACAGGATTTTTTTTAATATCTTTTTTTGGTGGAGGTGACACATTACTCCTTACTGAGAGAATAGAATGCTTGCCTCCTTGATAAAACTAGATCATCTGCAGGACCACATTCAGTATGAATTTTTTGTAGAAAGTTTTTTTTTTTGTTTCTTTTTTAACAAAGGTGTTAAAATAGGCTGCCATGTTCGGCAAGAACCTAGCATTCTACGTAGGATTCAAAAGTAGGAGAGCAGGCACTGCTGTCATGATAGCCCTCCCCATTGAAAAGAGATGTAACTCCTTAGAAAGCTTCTTGAACAAGTTTGCAGATGACACAAAAATAGGAAGGATTGTGAACGCATTGGAGAATGTGAATGCAATTCAAAAGGATCTTGACAGATTGGAGAGTTGGACAAGACCTAAATGGATGAAATTCAATGTCAACAAATGAAGGGTGCTACATCTTGGGAGGAATAATCAAAACACAAATATAAAATGGGGAACACCTAGCTGGATGGCAGCTCTGCAGAATGGGGGACACTTGAATGGATGGAAGCTCTGTGAGAGAGGACTTGGGAGTCTTTGTAGACCACAGACTCAATACAAGTCTGCAATATGATGCAACCATACAAAAAACAAATGCAATTTTGGGCTGCATCAATAGAAATAATTAGACCCGAAACATGGGAGGTGAGAGTGCTTCTCAACTTGGCACTGGTTAGGCCTCATCTGGAGTACTGTGTGCTGTGCGGATTTCTGGGCTCCACATTTTTAAAAGGACACGGAGAAGTTAGAGAGGGTCCAGAGACAGGCAGCAAAGATGATCAAGGGCTCAGAAGGAAAGTCATATAATGAAAGGCTGAAAGAGCTACGCATGTTCAGCTTGTGGAAAAGGCACTTAAGTGGGGACATGATAGCATTCTTCAAATATGTGAAGGGCAGCCATGAAGAAGAGGGAAAGCACCTTTATTCTCTCCATGTGGACTGATGGCTTGAAGTTGCAGCAAAGTAGGTTTTTAGATGGGATATCCTGAAAAACCACTGTAAGAATAGTGAGACAGAATAGACTGCCTAGGGAAGTTGTGGACTCTGTATCACTGAGAGTTGGCTGATCTCCTCCATAGAGCTTTAAACTAGGCTTGATAGGGGACAGGGAACCAGTGGTTGAGGAGAACCCAGGGTTGGCAAGCCACAAACAAGGCGCTGGACAAGTCCAGGTAGGCACTAAGGGGCATGCTAGACATAAAGGCAAAGGGGGACCAAGAGCACCCATCGGGGGGCTAACGTGCCTTTACACAAAAGCCAGGAGTATGGAGAATAAGCAGGAGGAGCTCATACTCTTACTTGCTAGCACCCAGTGTGACTTGGTCAGCTTAACGGAAACATGGTGGGATTCTACTCACAATTGGGTGTTAGGCGTTGAGGGGTACAGGTTGTACAGGTGAGACAGAGTGGGGAAAAAGGGTGGGGGTGTAGCTGTCTACATTAGGGAGCAGTACACATCTACCATCATCAGTGCAGGGTAGAGGAGGGGGATACCAAGGTATTATGGGTCAGGATACAGCAGGGTCCAGGGGAAAAGGACTTGGTAGTGGGGGTCTACTACAGACCTCCTTATCAGGATGACTAGCTAGACCTGGTCTTCACCAGGCAGTCCTCAGAGGCTGTTTAGGCGAGAGAGGCAGTGGTCATAGGGGACCTAAATTACGCAGACATCTGCTGGGAGGAGCAGACGGCCAAAACAAACCACTCACATAGGTTCTTAAACTGCTTGCAGGACCTCCACCTAACCCAGGAGGTGTCCAGTCCCACCAGGGGTAACGCTTTGCTAGACCTGGTCTTAGTAATGGGATGATCTCATGGGTAACCTGTGAGTGCACAGTTGCCTAGGAGATGGTGACCATCATATGGTTGTATTCACAATCCAGAGAAGAGTGGGTAAAATAACCAGCAAGGCTAAAGTGTTAGACTTCTGAAGGGCTGATTTTAGTAAACTTAGAAGGCTAGTTAATGAGGTGGTTGAACTCAGGAACATCGAGCAGATGGGGTTCCGGGGGGGTTGGCGGTTTGTCAAGGGAGTGATCCTTGAGGCATAAAAGGAGACTATTCCATTATGCTGGGAAGGGGGCAAGGGGACTAAAAAGCCCCTTTGGCTGAACAGGGAATTCCAGAAAAGACTGGGGGCAAAGAAAGAGATTTATA